ATTACATATTCATATATTATTTTTCGGTTGTTTTAATTCCTAAAGATTAAATTTACATACTATTATTTAAATTACTATTTATTGTATTGAAATATTATTAAATGTTTCCAATTTTATCAAATATATTATTGTGTAACGGTGATTATGAATATTTTGTAAATATTATTTATTACTTAGTAGATTGTTTGGATTGTTGTTCTTGTTCCTGAATTGTACCCATTAATATTCATGAACCTGATTCATGTACCTGATTTTATGTATATATCTTTTCGAGTTATAATTGTTATGAAAAGTAGTTTGTTTTAGAACTGTATATTTATTATATGGGGGAACCGAACACCCAAAAATGATCGGTAACGCACCAATATTGCAACTTCAGAGGTTCTGAGGAAAAGCAATAAATACAATATATAATAATATTTTGCTTCGAAAATATTGTGACGAACATAGATGATAGAACAAAATCGAATGAAAGATAAACTGCCAGAAGCAACTAGTTAGCGAATTCGTAGTTGCCAGAATGTTCTAGAAGCAATGTTTTGTTACAGATTTACTATATAAGGGCTGCCGGATTGTGCAGCAAACACAGTTCTAGTTAGAATGTTGTCGTGATAAGAGCAATCAAACTATAAGCAAGAAGTTGTAAGCTCGAATAACGAGCAATAAGTGTTAAGTTGTTTTAATTAGAAATAAAGATAAGTGTGTAGCCATTAAATTGGGACTTTTATTTAACAATCCAGTGATCGAACTCAAGAGTGAGTTACAGGTAGACGATTTATCGAGAAATCCGTTACAATTGGTGTCAGAAGTGGGATTGTCAAATAAATTCCCAAGGAGATAATTATTTACAAATGGCCAAGTTTAACGATCTGAAGATTCTACAACTGAAAAAGGAGCTGGAACAACGTGGTTTGGCGACAAATGGATTAAAAACTGAATTACAATCACGGTTGAGAGAGGCCATGGGGGCGGAAAACATTAATGTTGAGGAATATGTCTTTCACATGGAATTAGAAGAAGAGACAACAAAGATAGAAGAAAAGGAAGAGGCTCAATGCTCGTCAAAGATGGTGGACATGAACATGCTTTTTTCTGCAATATCGCAGATGTCAACGCAAATGTCGACACAATTTAAAGAGCAGGATACCCGTATGTCTCAGATGTCAACGCAGTTAGAAACGCGATTGTCAACGCATTTGGAAGAGCAGTTCATAACGCAAGATGCACGTATATCAGCGCAGGTGACCTCACAAATAGCAGAAGTTTCCTCACAGATTTCGGAAGAACGGGATAAAATTAAAACTGAAATGGATGAATTGAGAGATCGTCTCCGTGAGCTACAAATAAATCGGCCAATTATGTCGTCAGCTTCTGCCAAAGTAAAACCTCCATCCTTTGATGGCACTGTTCCGTTCCACGTTTTTAAGCTTCAATTCGAAAAGACGGCATCTTCAAATAATTGGAACGCTGAAGACAAAGTAGCTGCATTGTTCGTTGCATTAAAAGGATCTGCAGCGGAGATATTACAGACCATTCCAAACTGCGAGGCGAGTAGTTATGAAACGTTGATGGGTGCATTAGAAAGGCAGTATGGTAGTGAGCACAGGAAGCAGATCTTTCAAATCGAGTTGCGAAATCGCCGCCAGAAAGCCAATGAGTCTCTGCAGGAGTTTTCTACAGAGATTGAGAGGTTAGCTCACTTAGATTATGCACATAAATCCGTGGAATACATCGAGGATATGAAAATTCAGACTTTCGTCAATGGAATACGAGATAACACTACACGCTTCGCTGCATTAGCATGTCCAAAATTGACGTTTGCAGAAACCGTTTCGTACGCTCTGACACAGGAAACTGCATCTCTGCTTTGCAATCAAACATTTAAAGCTCACAAAGTAGAAATAGAGGAACACACTTGAGTGAACCAATTACTTGAAAAAATGGACAACATGCAGAAAGCACTGGAAAAATCTAAGGAAGCGCATAGGAAAAATGATGGTGTGTTTAAATGCTTCAACTGCGGGAAAAGTGGCCATATTGCACGCAACTGTAATCAGTCCAATAATCCAGTTGGACGTAAACGCAAAGTTGAGGAAGATTCCATGGACGAAAACGACATATCGAGCGAAATAAACGAATGGACCAAGGAACTAGAGGCAAACCATCAAATTATGGCTAAACAAATTCTTCTCAGATACTCATCCATATTTGATAAAGACGATGCCAAACCAGGAAGAACCAAAGTTGTGAATCATTTCATTAACACAGGTGATGCAAGACCAATCCGACAGGCTCCTCGAAGCGTTCCTTTACCAAAACGTGAAGTTGTAAGCCAGACCATACGTGAAATGAGTGAAAGCGGCGTAATCGAACCATCAGAGAGTCCGTGGAGCTCACCTGTACTTGTAAAGAAGAAAGATGGCAACATGAGATTTTGTGTGGACTATAGAAGGTTGAATGATGTAACAAAGAAAGACAGTTATCCACTACCTAGAATCGATGACACACTGGACTCGTTATCAGGCACAAAATGGTTCTCAACACTTGATTTGAAAAGTGGTTATTGGCAAGTGGAGGTAAACGAAGAAGACAAAGAAAAGACGGCTTTCAGCGTTGGAGATGGTCTATGGCAATTTACCGTAATGCCCTTTGGATTATGTAACACTCCTGCAACTTTTGAGAGACTTATGGACCAAGTATTAAAAGGATTACACTGGAAGACCTGTTTAGTATACCTCGACGATATCATCGTGTTATGTAAAAGCTTCGATGAACACCTTAAGAACTTGGAAGAGGTTTTCCAACGGATAGCTAGCGCTGGTCTGAAGCTGAGTCCAAAGAAGTGTTCCCTTTTCAAAAAAAGAAGTAACCTACTTAGGACATAAAGCGACAACGGAGGGCATTTGCACAGCTAATGAAAAGATCGAGGCAGTCAGAGATTGGCCCAATCCTAAAAATTTACATGAATTTCGGAGTTTCCTTGGACTGTGTACTTATTATCGAATTTTGCCAGCGTAGCTAGTAGCCTCCATGAACTCACGAAAAAGAACAGAGTTTTTGAATGGAATCAAGAACAGGAAGTGGCTTTCCAAACTCTGAAGAAGCGATTAAGTACTGCGCCAATGTTAGCATACCCGGTCCCAGGATCAACGTTTATTTTGGATACGGATGCTAGTGGATTTGCAGTAGGAGGCGTTCTATCACAAGTCATTGATGGGCATGAGAAAGTGGTTGCATATTACAGCCAGACAATAAGTAAGCCAGAGAGAAATTATTGTGTTACTCGGAGGGAATTACTGGCGTTGGTGAAGTGCATCAAACATTTTCATAAGTACCTTTATGGCCAGCGATTTCGGGTGAGAACAGATCATGCAGCATTAAAATGGCTTCTGCAATTCAGGAACCCAGAAGGACAGTTGGCACGTTGGATTGAAAGACTCCAAAGTTACGGCTTCTGTATAGCATAGAACATCGCAAAGGTAGTAATCATGGAAATGCTGATGCCATGTCCCGCCGTCCCTGTAATCTGGAATGCAGGCATTGCTCAAAAGCTGAGGCCAAAGAAGACATTATAGATGTCCGATTAATGACTATAACATCAGACTGGGATCCGGAGGAGCTACGGAAATGTCAGCAAGAGGATCCAGATTTGAAAAGTGTAATACATGGATTGGAGATGAATAAACGTCCAACGAGAGAAGAAATAGCTGCAGAAAGCCCAGTCGCTAAGGCTTATTGGGCACAATGGAATAGTTTAAAATTAGTGTCTGGCTGCTTGCATCGCGTATGGGAAAGCGAAGATGGGCAAAGTTCACGAGCTCTGATGATTATTCCAAAAGTAAAAATTCCTGAAGTTCTCAACGAGCTGCACAACGGTCCAAGTGGAGGAGACATGGGTATCACTAAAACCTTGGAGAAATTAAAACAAAGATTTTATTGGGTTGGTTGTCGTCAATCAGTTACGGAATGGATCGCCAATTGTGTCGAGTGCATTGCTGCTAAAGGGCCGAGGTCCAGGAGTCATGGTCAGATGAAGCAGTACAATTCGGGTGCGCCGTTTGAGCGAATTGCCATGGATGTAGCTGGTCCATTTCCTATCAGTAAGTTAGGAAACAAATATGTTTTGGTAGTCATGGACTATTTCAGCAAATGGCCAGAGGTAAACGCAATTCCTAACCAAAAGGCAGGAACAGTGGCGGACGTATTCATCAAGAATTGGGTATCGAGATATGGTGTTCCAATAGAATTACATTCTGATCAAGGGAGAAATTTTGAATTAGCTCTAATTCAGGAGATATGCCAGAAACTGGGAATCCGGAAAACGCGTACAACTGCACTACATCCGCAGTCCGATGGCATGGTAGAACGATTCAATCGAACTTTGGAAGAACATTTGAGGAAAGTTGTGGACAAGTATCAAAAAGATTGGGATACTCATATATCCTTGTTCCTGATGGCTTATCGGTCTGCTGTACATGAAACAACGGGGCAGACTCCAGCAAGGGTAATTTTTGGTAATGATCTTTGACTACCGATTGATTTAAAATTTGGAATTAACGCCAACGGAGGAAGGAATACTAAGGAATTCAATAGCATCCTAGAAGACGAGATGAGGGATATACATGCTATGGTAAGACAGCTCACCAAAATTATGAGCGATAAGATGAAAGCAAAATACGACAAGGCAATAAACTCGGAAGGTTTTATTGAAGGCGATTGGGTATTGTTATATAACCCACAACGAAAGAAAGGGTTATCTCCCAAATTACAGTGTAATTGGGAAGGACCATACCAGGTTATTAAACGACTCAATGATGTAGTGTATCGCATACAGACCATTGGAAGACCAAGGAATAAAATGAAGGTGGTTCATCTGGAACGGCTTGCAGCGTTTGGTACCACAAATATGTCTAATCGGGACGATCAGACTTAGGTGGAGGGCAGTGTGACGAACATAGATGATAGAACAAAATCGAATGAACGACAATTTTTCGCGTGAAAACCTCTTTTGTCTATGAAAACACGAGTTTAATGTCGGTGCGAACATAGTATAACAGATAAGTATTTTGAAGAAAGATTCTTCTATGAAACTTGTGTACTAACAATTTTAATGCTGCGGAAACAATTTAAATAACATAACTATACAACTTTTAAAATGGGAACAGAAAATATATAATATAAACTTTACAAGTGTTTATTCTACTAATTTGCTTCTATTTTGCGGACTTTTATGAAACTTGTTTTATTAGCTTTAGTGCTCTTGGATTAAAATATTTATATAATAATTTATTCAAAATACCTTAGATAAAAGCGTTAATGGTGTTATATATAGGACGGATTTCTAGATTGAAAGACGAATAAGTGATATTTTTATTTCATAAAAATTACCATATTTATTGAAAATGTACTGCCATATGTAATTTTTTGCCGAAAGGAACTTTAACCTTGATGGTCCCGATGTTTTTAAAAGATACCAGTATGATATTCGAAAAGAACCGCTTTCATTTTCGAAACGAAATTTCGGCGTAGAAAGGATTGTATTGGAAGTAACTTCGTTCACGAAAAGAACTGCAGTTTTGTTCTATCCGAAGGAATGGCCATGATTACATAGGGATTCTCCGCAGAAGTTTGTTCCTTTCTTCACTTGGATGGCCACGATCTCAATAAACTTACTCGAGTAGCCGGCATGCTCCTCAGAAGTAAATTATTTTGAAAACATATGGGAGATCGTTGTGTGCTGTATTTACACTTAAAATCGCTAATTTTATAATTTTCATGAACTTAATGTCGCCACAGTCAAGAAGTAGGAACAGTTGGACTTTAATTTACTAAAACACCTCGTAACTTAACTGAACGCTTTGCCCTTAAGCATTTTAATTAAATCATTAATTACCAATTTTAATTCAAACGCACTTAAGCTAAAAAAAAATCACAAAAGTCCGCAAAACAGAAGCAAAGTATGAGTGGTTTTATAATTTTGCAACACGTATTTCATACATTTTCTATCCAAATTTTTTAGTTTTTATAGTGTTGTTATTAAAATTTGTTCCAAAGCACTTGAGTTGTCAATATACAGGCTTCATGGAAGAAATTTTCTTCATAATACTTACTTGTTGGACTTAACAACTATAATTTTATTGGTCTTTTAATTTTGCAATAGAGTGTATATATTCAGAATATGTTCGGTAAAATATATTAAATCTCTATACATTGTTTTTAATAAACCGCAAGCAGTTAATTCAGCTTGCAGCAAGAAGTTTAAAAAAAAAAAGAAAAATTAATTATTTGGAAATAAGCGTACAGAATCTGACTGCGTTTTAGATCAACAAAGAATAGTGATATCATGATTTGAACCACTGTGCTGTTATGAAGTGAACCACGTTTGCTACAGGTTACATCAATAAATCTTTTATTCGGTTCCAATACTGCTTGAAGCCCTAGGTTATAGGCGGTCTTTATTTAAAAAAATTTTTATTACCTCTACGACCTTTTTTTCTCCTGGGCTAATTTTTCCATTTGCACATAATTCAATATACATTTAATAATACATTCATTATTGTTTTTGACATTTAAATTGTGGAACGCTGGCAATAATTTTGGTCTTTGCTGATTACTCCTGTTCCTCAGAGCTTCATGAAGATTCCGGCGTGGAGAGTTACTGTGTAAAGCGTTACACGAGTAAAAATGATCGCTAACGCGAAAATCCATCTCTGTAAGGCGATAAGCGCATTGGAATTCGCGTTTTACGGATGCGTTTTCCCCCTTCGCGATGGCAGCACTCCGTACTGCGCAAGCGATTGTCAAACGTAACGCACAAACTATGTAAGTCCTTAACGCTTATTTTTTGTTTAAATTTACTAAAATAATTTCTTTTGTTAGGGAACATTCTAAAAATTAACAGATATTGGGTAAAAAGCTCGTTTCGCTTTATCTCCCCCTTCCATGACGTGAAACTGTTTGTTGGGCTAGTCCTGTATAGTGATTTCGTCTAATTCGTTGTTGTTATCCTCCCTGCGTCAAAAACTTTAAAGTTGCAGCTAGTTTTACAATTACTGGTATTCTTGTGGACCTGCGTTGAGTTACATCATTCCTTGCTTAAGCGGAAATTTGCACGAAACTATTTATGAGTAAACTCGCATTATATTCTATCATTCACACTTGACTTTTTTCACTAAGACTCTTTACATTCGACTTGTCCCTTATAATTTTTCGCTCCACTCGTTTCTTATTTGTGTATTTGTGTATTCCTCCCACAACTTAACAGAATTAATATATACACCTTTTAAAACTTTCAACTTAATTTACAACACTGCACAATTTGAAAAATGTACGTCCGTTTATTTTTTACATTTTGTTTTCATTTTCCTTCGTTTTGGCCAGTAATACCAAATATATTTGAAAGGTGTCAACGGAAAAACAGTACAATACTGTTGACAATGCAAATGTGTTAAAGAGTACTAATTCGCAAAGTCTTATAGAGTAAAGTGCCCTGGAGATGATTAAATAATTACATCTAAGATTGCATATGTGTGAGTGAAGTCTTGCCCGCAAACGTTCAAATAAACTCATCAACCATCATTTTATATTTGAACTCACCGTAGAGCTGTAAAACTATCAAGAGTTTTTCCCCTTGAAATCTTTTTACTTTTCGCTGGCTTTATTTATAAAACAAAATATGAACAATGATGGAAAAAACAAAAAAATTAATAAAGTTACATATAAATTTTTTTATGTCAATTCAAAAGAACTAGTTGCGTATATAACAACGAAGATGGCGAAAATTTAAGAAAAAAAACTACATAATTTGTAAGTTCTAAAATAATAAATAATTATAATTATCGATTCAATTATACTGTTATTTCTTAAATATGAAAAGTAGTATTCAGAAAGACTCTTACTAATAAGAAAGAGAATAGAGGAGAATACGCTATTAAGCGGACCAAACGCAAACTCCAATGATGGATGGAAGTAAGTAAAAATAGGTAGACTTCGATAACGTACTACTGCAAAGTATCGATCAGAGATAAAGAGATGCCCAACTCGTCTCTCACTGGAAATGAGAGCGCAATTGATAAACGTCAAAACCTACTGAACTCAAGCAACTGTCAAAGTTCAGTAGGTCTGACGTTTAGCAATTGGAAAAAGAGGGACGGCCAGATTAAAATCCTACAGAAAAATATGTAAACAGAGAGATTTGTGCTGCTGTTGAAGATCACTAACAAAAATTGGAAAACAATGAAAATGAAAGAAAACGCGAAATTGAAATAATTATATATATTCGTAATTTGGAGAATCTCCTCTATCCAACCATACCCCTCTTAACCCTGAAATCGTGGGATGCTAAACTAAAGCCCACCCCAATTTTTAATCATACTAAATGTTGCGTGTTCTAATTTCCGATCTGACTACAATGTAAAATGTTATAAATAACGCTTACTTTGAGGCGCTCTCACACTGGAAAGAGTTGGGCATCCCATTATCCCTGGTATCGATACAATATGACTGGCTTGATGAGTTACGCCTCTCTCCTCCATACACACCACTGAGCTCCAACGCATCACATCAACACATTCCACAAGAAGACTGCACCCACTTACACACACCAACCCTGCAGACATCACACCACGCAGACCACCCACACATTCACATCACATAACATCACAACTCTACACAACCAAACCATCAAAACGGACTAACAAAGGACCAGAGGCCTCTTCTTTTCGTTCGCATTCGCGCCGTATAGACGTCCCCCAACCGCAGCAACTTTTCGCCCGAGTTCTATTTTAAATTTTTAATACATTGTATATCCCTTTTAATAAACGGAGAGGATACCGCCGGGTGATCTAAAAAAGATCTTGAATCTTCTCCGTCATTTTTTTGGCTTTTAAGAAACGCATTTGAACGAGGAGTGCAAGTGTAAATATTTAAACAATTACTACAGTATTTATACATCGTTGGAATGTAATCAAACTCCTTTGCAAAATAATGCGTTGTATAATCTGATGTTACACTGTTACGACTGCCCGTTTAATGCATTTTAAAACATGATGCAATGTCAAAAATGTTTCGGATGCATTACAGAACATTATACTTTGTTCTTATACATTTCATTTGACGTTTTTGAAGTCAGCCATAATGTTTATTCAATTAATATGCAGATCATAATCTATATCTTTTTAGAAAAGTAGCGGAAATATTTCCTGATCCAAAGAACTAGGTCAGTTGCAAATCACATTGGAACAGCATAGTTTAAAAATATAAAAACTTCCTCAGCTCTGGACCGGTATGAAAACATTGTTTTATTATTGAAATACTTCATAAATTAAATATTGCTTCTTTAGGTGAAGTGACTTGAGAAGAGGCCGCTGCGAAAGAGGTTTAAGATTGGGAGTACTTTGAGACAATGCACGCGTATTCATCCCCTTAGGATAATTACCACCCTCCCTATTTGCTTGACAGCAGTGAGGGTGGTTTGAAGGGTAACTACCTTTTGCATATTGAGGGCTGTTGAGGCAAACACGAGTGTCATGCTCCTATCCCGAAAAGCCTGTAAAAACGTCCGTAAAATTTGCATCACTATCAGAAAATGCTTGCAGTTGAATTGAATCAAACTTCTTATGGTTAGTATATTCAATATGTTTTTTAACAGGACATTTAATTCTTATGTGAGAACAATCGATGGCTTTAATGAATTTGAGAAAAGCTTTACTTTTGGCTTTTCTGCCAAACTCTAAACCTATGTAGCCTATTATAATCGTTAACAGAAGCATGTTTTATTAATTGATGTGGTTTCGCAATTCATCTAACATATTATGTATATATTCCTTACTTTTAACCGGCTGAAACACATAAATGTTGCAGCAATACGATAACTGCAACCACAATCCAACCAAAAAAAAAAAAAAACCACAATGCAACCAAAATAAAAAAAACCACAATCCAACTAAAATAAAAAAAATACCACCATCCAACCAAAATAAAAAAAGAACAATGACCAACCATGTGATTTTTCGGAATGATTAGCACAATTTTTCTAAACGTGCTGGCAGAGATCCTTAAATGCATTCTAATTTTTTTTCTATTACCGGACATATTATCATTGATATCCTCAGATGTAATTTTTGGATGAAGATAAACAATATCCTGTAATGATTTGTACAAAATTAATATAAAGAAAAACGTAGTTGTAATACAAGTATTGTTTTGAATCCTATTAATTTTGAAAGTATATTTTTTAATTTAAATAACAAGACAAAATTTCAAATATCGCTATTGCGTTTGCTTTAAACTTCAACTGTGCACTATAGGAAACTCAACACAGGGAAAAAGGTTACCGTTCGGCACACAGCCTTACTACATAAGCTGCTTTGAGAGCGGACGAGTTATAAAAAAATTTAAATTTTTTATATATTTGCAAAATTAATATGAGATCAAGAAATTTAATTAACGTGATATTCGTTTATACGCACTGTAGGCAGACCAATGCTACTGGGTATGAGTATGTATATGTATTATATATATGGGGAAATTCAATTACAACAGAATGTTCACATAAGATCTTTCATAATTTAATTTTCTAAAACAAGAGTACTAAATAAAATGAAGGTTTCTTTACAATTTTTGTTTTCCCATGGTTCTTAATTCTTGTTATAATATTGAATTCTTACCTAATTCTAAATATTTCTGCAACATTCCCTCTATCACATCCAACACCTAACCAAAGTGTAAAAAATATTTAAACTTAATAATTTGAATATTATTTTAACAACTATCTGTACATACGATTTAAAGCCACATGCGCGCAACCCAGCCAAGAATAACCAATCGGTTAAGTCGCCGGTTAATTACCCAAAAGGCTCTCAGAGACTTCTCAGGGGTGTTATGGAATCTAAGACAGATTTGCGTAGTTCTCAGAATTGCAAACCAATTTTGAATTTCAATTGTGTCACAGAATTTCTGATTGGATTTTCGTTCTTTCGAAATTACGCAATACCAATATTCGACTCAGATATTTACAAATGGGACAAAACTTGCAAATGAATAAATTTAGAAGCGTCTGATAAATTTAATATACTGAAGAAATTGTACTAAGGTTAACAATGATTTCCGATATTTTAGCTATTATTTTATTTAAAAAAAGGAACGAAAATATTTAAAGGAAGATATTAAAAGATGGCAGTTACCCACTTGATGCACCAGGGGCTTGCGTACTTTACGAATTTATATCACATTGTCGACTGAACAAAGATGCATTTTGGTGTTAAATTACGTTTTTTGCGTTTTGTAAATCTTCCTAAAATATTTGGATTTTTCCACAAATTCAATAATTATAAAATTTTGTGTTTTATTCTTATGTTTCCCTTATAAAAATAAAGACAAATTAAATGTAACAATAATATACTTACATTTCAAACCTGTCAGCAACTATCCTCTTGTTTTGTTTCTGATAACAAACTCGATAAAATTGGTTTCCGTAACAATCAAAACCGAAAAAATTTATTTTTCGAACGTCAAACCAATAATATCTGATTCATGACACCTACTACATTTTTATCGATTTTAAATCTGATTCCGACTACTATCAGATTCTACAACACTCCTGTTTATAATAAATCGTAAATTATCATTATATTTGAACAACAAAAACTTTAAATCACAAATAATGACTATTTATGGAAATCAAATAATGATTATGATATTAATTTTTTTTTAATAGAATAGATTATTTATGATTTTTATTTCGTTTTTGCACAAAATAAAACTAACTTTTGATTGTACGCTTTTTATAAAGTGTTTTGCTAACTTCGTTGTATACTCTTTTAGAAAAAAGTAACATATATCTTCTTTTTCTCTTTTGTGAATAACACAAAAATTTGATAACACCCATATTTGCGACAGAAAAAATGTTTGGAATAACTTTCATGTTTTGGATTCGATAACGATAAAATATAGTCATGCAAACCAGGACATAATCCTGTGTGTGAAATTTCACGGCCCTATTTCAATAATTACGCATGATATTATTTTTTCTAATTTTCGGAGGGGCGGAAAAGGCAATGCCATAACACAAATTTGATCCTTGAGATTTGTTCTGAAAGGACATGTTACGAAGTTAGCAAAAGAAACCTGTGATCTAAAAACGAGTATTATTTTGACCAAAAAATAAAAATCTCAAATAATTATTCATGGTTTTTAGTTCAAATCTAATTATTAGCTAGGGTTTATATAAAATTAATCATTATCGGTGAAGGAAATTATAAAAATCCGAAATTAAACAATCTTCACCGAAGCACTGAGATCATCGAAAAAGAATTAACGAGATATTATCTGTTTTATGTATGTCAATTGTAAGTAATTGATTTTTTAATTTAAAAGTCACAACAATAAACGACCAAATATGATTATTCAGATTTACACACCTATGGCGGAAGGCTAGTGTATCATAGTTGTCGTTATGCTTACGTCATACAAATGAATTCAAATTATTCAAACAATAAAATTTAACACTAATAATAAAAAACGGGTGCGCAAAATATATTTGCAACGATTGTTATGGAAGATGAGTTGAATGCAGAAGAAATTATTGGAAGCGGTTAATGTGAATTTATTAAATGGCCCATTTGTCTAGCTTCAGAAATGTTGTGAACAAATCTTTTCCTAATGAAAGCCTTCCAATCCATCTAAACCTGATGAAAAATTAGCTTAAAAGAACATCTTTTGAAAAACAAAATTACTGGTTTTGCCTTCTTCCAGGTGGATCATGTAACGGGTGTTGTTCTTAGACATGATGTTTTCAATGAGGCAAAAAATTTTGCGAAATTGATATTTTTAACAGCTGTTAATTGACTTATACTCAGTTTGGTTTGCCATTTTGTGATGAAGAGATTAACTCAGGAATAACTTTTGAAAATCGTTAAAATTTGCTACTAAAATAATGGGTTGGTTCGCGCGACGTCGAATATTCGGTCGACATAATCGCCCAACAGAGTAGGAAATTCGAGCAACCATGGATCATTTTCATACTACGTTTACTCTAGGTAAGAATACGCAACCTCAGAGACGCCGCACAAAGCGCACCGAAAGCGCTATTGTTATAGTGGAGCAGAGTTTCGAAGAAGACCCGACTGAGTCCATCCGCCATCGCTCGCAATAATTGGAGCAGTGCCATCCACTTTATGGAAGAATTTAGTTTGCAGGCTTACAAAATTGAACTCGTGTAAGAACAGAAACCATCACCCTAATTGCTATAAAAAGTGGTCCAAAATTTGGCCTCTCAGTTGGAATTTATTCGCGGCGGTCACTTGTCCGAAATCATTTTTAAAACATAATGGAATTATGGAAATAAAATTATCTTATATACGTTTTATTACTTCTTGAAAACCACATGTAGAAAAAACACTCCCTTTTCTGCGTCCTTATGTTTTCGCTTTATTAACTAACAATTACTTTTATAATCAAAATTTACTATTTTAAATATTTTTTTCTGTATAAATTTAGCACTTACATGTTTGCGCGCACCAAATTAATACAATTGATTTGAACTGAATATTCGTTTTTCAAAACGCTCATTTCCACTCGGAATTCATTTTAAAAAAATAAGGAAATTAAATAGTGAAAGTGAAATATAGAACACCGAATGTTGGATTAAAAGTGGCTTTGTTAAAATCCACTCGAAAGGGAATTACAGAATCTGCCCGATAGATCTAGATTAAATAAAAGTTTGGAATCGACAACATACTTATAAGAATCAATAATTGTCCGAATATCAAGTTTCTAGATTTAAAACATGTATGGCATTTGGTTGTTGTCTTGGATGCAGTCAGAAATATACTGAAAAAGTTTTCTTTACACGATCTGAGCCCGTATATAAACTGTCAAAGTCATTGTCAAAGGTTTGTCATATCCTGAATATATGAAAAGTGCGTTGAAGCTAACACCAAAAACGAAAACAAAAATTTTGTTTGTCGTTCTGTCATCAATATATTTACCATTATTAGTTCACGAAAACATTCGCTAAACGCACTGATGACCAGCGAGAGAATGATAATAATAACAGTCGTAAAGGCATTACAGCTTTGCGTTCTACAATAAAGTGGATAGGCATAGAATGGAACGAGTTCGGGCGCATCGATCATAACAGCAGCGCGCATGGGAAAATGAAACTAATTGAATCCTCAAATGCAAAGCTTCAGTGAACCTAGAACGAGATCAATCTCTAACGATACGGAAATAGATTATAATGCCAAAATTCGATTAATGTCAATAATTTGTCGACATTGTAAAGCTTAAAATACAGATGTGAATCTGTGGGATTGTTGTTGTTGCCACTGCTGCGGCTGGTTATGCAGTTAGTTCATTTAAAGCTTTCTTATAAACTATATTATTTCTCTTTTTTTGCGGTGTGAAATTCGCCGGGTCATATATTAAATTACAGTTTCCTTGGACTACATATTTATTATCGACGATTCGTTCCAAATTTTGTCATCGTAGCTAGTGGCTTTTACGAACTCACGAAAAAGAACAGAGTCTTTGATTGGAATAAACAACAGGAAGTGGATTTTCAAACTCTGAAGAAACGGCAGTTTACTGCGGAAATGTTAACATACACGTTCCCAGGATCAGCGTTTATTTTGGATACTAGTGGGTATGCAGTAGGAGGAGTTCTATCACAAGTCATTGGTGGGCATGGGACAGTAGTTGCGTACTACAGTCAGACAATAAGCAAGATAGAGAGAAATTATTGTGTAACTCGGAGGAAATTACTGGCGTTGGTGAAATGCAGCAAACGTTTTCATAAGTACCTTTATGGCCAAAGTTTTCACGTAAGGACAGATCATGCAGCATTAAAATGACATGCAGCACATTTCAATAACTCAGAGGGAAAGTTGGCACAATATATTGAGGGACTCTTAAGTTCTCTATAGAACATCGCAAAGGTAGTAATCATGGAAATGCGGATGCGATGTCCCAACATCCTTGTAGCTTCGAATGCAGACATTGCTCAAAAGCTGAGACTAAACAAGAAATTATAGATGTCCGATTAATGACAATCATACCAGACTGGGATAAGGAGGAACAACGGAAATGTAAAAGCAAGAATATCCAGATTTGAAATGTGTAATACATGGATTGGAGATGAATAAACGTTCAACGAGAGAAGAAATAGCTGCATAATGTCCAGTCGCAAAGGCGTATTGGACACAATGGAATAGTATGAAGTGTCTGGGTGCTTGCATCGCAGGGAAAGCGAAGTACGGCAAAGGTCACGAGCTCTGATGATTGTTCCGAAAGTAAGTGGAAGACACATGGGTTTCACTAAAACCTAGGGGAAATTTAAAAACGATTTTATTGGGTTGATTGTCATCAATCAGTTACGGAGTGGATCGCCAATTGTGCCGAGTGCATTGCAGCTAAAGGGCCGAGGTCCAGGAGTCATAGCCAGATGAAGTAGTACAATTCAGATGTGCCGTTTGACCGAATTGCAATGAATGTCGCTGGTCCATTTCCCACCATTAAGTTAGGAAACAAGTATGTTTTGGTAGTCATGAACTATTTCAGCAAATGGCCAGAGGTATACGCAGTTCTTAACCAAGAGGCAGAAACAGTAGCGGTCATATTCATTAACAATTCTAATAGAATTTCATTCTGAACAAGGGAGGAGTTTTGAATCAGCGTAATTGTACCAGAATCAGGGTATTCGGAAAACCCGTACAACTGCACTACATTTGCAGTATGATGGCATGGTAGAACGATTCAACCGAAAGTTGGAAGAACATTTGACGAAAGTTGTGAACGAGTATCAAAAATATTGGGATACCAATATATCGGGTACGTTCGAGATGGCAATCACGACAGCAGTGTTGCAAGTTTGTCAAAGTAATACGTTCTGCGTGAGTTTATGGCAACACTTGCAGCAGCATCACGTTCTACTGTCACTTTTTGCGCGCAATTTATGCAAATAATCGGCAACATTAAATTTTTGTCTGCACATCAGCAAATAGTCAACACAGTTGCTGTACTGCTGTAATTATTACATAACTCGAAAGCACCCATCCTTGTTCCCGATGGCTTATCGGTTTGCTGTACATGAAACAACAGGACAGACTCCAGCAAGGGTAATTTTTAGTAATAATCTTTGGCTACCGATTGATTTACAATTTGTAATTAAAGCCAACGGAGGAAAACATGCCATGGTAGTGAAGCACATACAGATCATTAACCTTGGACATTGGAATAAAATGCAAGTGTATCGTCTGGAAAGCCTTGCAGCGGTTGGTACTGCGAATATGTCTAATGAAAATAGAATCGACGATAAATTGCTGGAATCAACTCGACAGCGAAATTGTAGTTACCAGACTTTTCGAGTGGCGAAGTTGTGTTTACAATCTACAACATACGGGCTGCCGGATTGTACAGCAGGTACACAATTCCGATTAGAGTGCTGCTTAATAAAGAACTATAAGCAATTAGGTGTAAACGCGAATAACGAGTGATAAGTGTTAAGTTGTTTAAATTAAAAAAAAAATGTGTATAGCCATTAAATTGGGACTTTTATTTAACAATCTGGTTATCGAACTCAAGAGTGAGTTACAAGGTAGACGATTTATTAATAAATCCGTTACAGTATTCGTCACATATAGCGTAACGTCAAAGAGAAATTATCGAAATTTAGAAAAAAAAATTGAAAAACTATGATAACGCCCAATTGTATCTGACGTCGTTATTTGTTGTTTTGCAGAAAATATGTGAACAATTTTATGAATTTAAGTTCTAGCTTTGGACGTCTGGTGTACCATACTTTTTCTTATTTAGAATTATAAGTCCTTCCATACCTTAAATGCATACTCTCGCCAGAAAAAGTCTGTGTAAACGCTAATATTATATCTATTTTCTTTCATTAAAAAATCACTTTTATATACTAAATTTTAGAGCATAATCATATAACCAAATGTAAAAGTGTCGGAAAGTGATAGTTTTACTTGTTTTCGTAAAAGTAGCCTTTTTAAAAGGTTTTGCTGTGGTGTTGGTCGAATGGAAATTATAGAGTCCAAAATGGACATATATGCATACCTTAACGAATTAAAAATAAACTTGAAGCAATAAACGGAAAAATTGGGTTTTCGAAGTGACTCCTATTTTCTACAGGATAACAAATGTTTTTTCTATTCGTCCATATGTTTTTTTTTCCAAATTCCAATTTGTTGGATATAATTACTACAAATGTGAGTTTTTGAATCAAGTAAACACATAAACATATACGTAATTTATAACATTTTATTAATATCCAATCTTTTCAATTTCATCTGAATTGGCTGTATCCAAAAGCTGAATAGTTTTTTTAAAATGGTTTTCAATGTACTTGCAAATATTCATAGACTTCTCTCCATCAACCAGATTAATTGCTATACCGTTTTTGCCTGAAAAATATTACGAAATGAAAGCTGTTTGCAATTTGTATATGTAAATTTTTATATTTACCAAATCTTCCAGTACGACCAATTCTATGTAAATATGTTTCGCAATCAGCGTTCCCCTTTGCATCCATGGGTAAATCGAAATTAACAACAATCGTAACCTGTTCAATGTCAATACCTAGACGAAATGAACTTGTAAAATTAAACTCGTACATTAAATGAATGAAATGCAATCTTAAGTAAAAGATTGAATGATATATAACTTCACAAATGGGTTACAATAGGAACCCTTTGGATCTAAAGTATGTTTTATTGCATGAAATGGTAGGGAGTTTATGGCCGCCAACTATTGTATCAGTTTTTTTTTTTTGCGTTTAAACAAAAAACAATATAATCATGGTAGTTGCTAAACCTGATAGTTGTCGATTTTTACTATCAGAGAGAAAACAAGATTTAATGATTAATTAATGATGTGACGTAATAATGATTATATATTGAGCTTTACGATTTTCTTCACCAATAATAATTAATTTTGATTAATATACAGGGGTGTGGTAGAATCCTAACAGATTCGCGTAGTTGTCACAATTGCAAACCAATTCTGGATTTCAATGGTGTCACAGAACTCGTTTTCGTCTTTTCGAAAATACGCAATACCAATATTCGAATCAGCTGTTTACTAATGTGACAAAACTTGCAAATGAATGAATTTCGGAACGTTTGATAAATTTAAAATACTGAACAAAGTGCACTAAAGTTTACGATTGCCGATATTTCAGCTTTTATTTTATTGGAATAAAAAAGCAACGAAAATATTATATTAAAAGATCACCGTAATCCACTTGATGTACCAGGGGAATCGCATGTGAAATTTGGCTTGCATTTACTTGTATGCTTGTATACATGCTTACTTTACCGATTTATATCACATTATCGACTGAATAAAGACTCATTTGGGAGTTAAATTACGTTTTTTGCGTTTTGTAAGGCTTCCTATAAAAACTCTGGATGTTTGCCACAAACTAAACAATTATGACATTTTGGTTTTATGTTTTCCCTTATAGAAATAAAGATAAATTAAATCGTAACAATAATAATTAATAAATAATTTCGACACAAAATTCGCGTTTTCATAGACAAAAGAGGTTTTCACGCGAAAACTTGTGTTATCATCCATACAAAATCTGTCAAACAAGAACACAGTTTTCGCTGAAAACCCCTTGAACTTACATTCCACTCATTATAATCGGTGCCTTCTCTAGTTTAATTGATATTATTAGAAGACATATTTTGCCAGCCCTAAATGTCAGTTGACAATTTGTTTACATTCCATAATTGACCTAAACATACCCTACAAGAAACTGCTGATGGGTTCACCAATACACTCACATTTGATATGTCAGTACTGTTAATTTACATTTGCATTTTTAAATTCAGAACTATCCACTGATTGGAGAAAGGCGTACGCAGACCTATTGAGAGGAGGAGATGGCATCAAGTGAATATTTATTTTTATATTTTCATATTTTATTATATTTTTTGTTGCATTCCTTTTTATATTTAAGTATATTATTATTACTATTTTTGATTAAAAGTTTGAAATTTATTAAAGAAATAAAAATTATATTATCTACTGCGCAAAAGAATTTGTCACTTCTGTTAGCGTTTCAGTCATAACTGACAATTTTCAGCTATGACGGATTTATGGTCAGCAATGACTCAGAAAAATCAAAACAAACAAACAAAAAAAAAACAAGGATCAAGAAAAGGCTAGAAACTTTGTTGTGCGCGCTGACAAAATTTTTTCAGCTATGACTGTCCATCAGATGACCGTCACTGTTCTTGTAGGGTACATAACAAATGTAAACATGTGTGAACTGTCAACGAAAACTCATCGAAAACACACAATGTCGGTCAGAACGACTTTGGTTGACAAACCACAAATTGTGTTTTCAAGAGGATTTCAATTCGGTGCGAACATAGTATTACATTTCAAATCTGTCAGCGACTGACCTCTTGTTTTGTTTCTGATAATAAACTCGATAAAATTGGATTCCGTGACACCTAAAACCGATACAATTTCTATTTTGAACGTCAAACCAATAATATCTGAATTCATGACACCTACTACATTTTTATCGATTTTAAATCTGATTCCGACAACTATAGTTATCATAGATAGCTATCAGTTTCTACAACACTCCTGATTAAATAAATCGTAAATAATCATTATATTTGAGCAAAAAAAAAACTTAAAATCACAAATAATGACTATTTATAGAAATCAAATAATGATTATGATATTAATTTTTTTTTTTAATAGAATAGATTATTTATGATTTTTATTTCGTTTTTGCACAAAATAAAACTAACTTTTGATTGTACGCTTTTTATAAAGTGTTTTGCTAACTTCGTTGTATACTCTTTTAGAAAAAAGTAACATATATCTTCTTTTTCTCTTTTGTGAATAACACAAAAATTTGATAACACCCATATTTGCGACAGAAACAATTCTTGGAATAACTTTCATGTTTTGGATTCGATGATGATAAAATATAGTCATGCAAACCAGGACATAATCCTGTGTGTGGAATTTCACGGCCATATCTCAATAATTACGCATGATATTATTTTTTCTAATTTTCGGAGGGGCGGAAAAGGCAATGCCATAACATAAATTTGATCCTTGAGATTTGTTCTGAAAGGACATGCTACGAAGTTAGCATAAGAAACCTGTGATCTAAAAACGAGTATTATTTTGACCAAAAAAAAAAATCTCAAATAATTATTCATGGTTTTTAGTTCAAATCTAATTATTAGCAAGGATTTATATAAAATTAATCATTATCGGTGGAGGAAATTATAAAAATCCGAAATTAAACAATCATCACCGAAATACTGAGATCATCGAAAAAGAATTAACGAGATATTATCTGTTTTTTGAGTTTTTTTTTTTGTTTTGTCAATTGTAAGTAATTGATTTTTTAATTTAAAAGTCGCAACAATTAACGACCAAATATGATTAATCAGATTTACACACCTATGTATGGCGGAAGGCTAGTGTATCATAGTTGTCGTTATGCTTACGTCATACAAATGAATTCAAATTATTCAAACAATAAAATTTAACACTAATAATAAAAAACGGGTGCGCAAAATAAAATTGCAACGATTGTTATGGAAGATGAGTTGAATGCAGAAGAAATTATTTGAAGCGGTTAATGTGAATTTATTAAATGGCCCATTTGTCTAGCTTCAGAAATGTTGTGAACAAATCTTTTCCTAATGAAAGCCTTCCAATCCATCTAAACCTGATGAAAAATTAGCTTAAAAGAACATCTTTTGAAAAACAAAATTACTGGTTTTACCTTCTTCCAGGTGGATCATGTAACGGGTGTTGTTCTTAGACATGTTGTTTTCAATGAGACAAAAAATTTTGCGAAATTGATATTTTTAACAGCTGTTAATTGACTTATACTCAGTTTGGTTTGCCATTTTGTGATGAAGAGATTAACTCAGGAATAACTTTTGAAAATCGTTAAAATTTGTTACTAAAATAATTGGTCGGTTCGCGCGACGTCGAATATTCGGTCGACATAATCGCCCCACAGAGGAGGTAATTCGAGCAACCATGGATCATTTTCATACTACGTTTACTCTAGTTGAGAATACGCAACCTCAGAGACGCCGTACAGAGCGCACCGAAAGCGCTATTGTCATAGAGGAGCAGAGTTTCGAAGAAGACCCGAATGAGTCCATCAGCCATCGCGCGCAATAATTGGATCAGTGCCATCCACTTTATGGAAGATTTTAGTTTGCGGGCTTACAAAATTGAACTCGTGTAAGAACAGAAACCATCGCCCCAATTGCTATAAAAAGTGGTCTAAAATTTGGCCTCTCAGTTGGAATTTATTCGCGGCGGTCACTTGTCCGAAATCATTTTTAAAACATAATGGAATTATGGAAATAAAATTATCTTATATACGTTTTATTACTTCTTGAAAACCACATGGCGAAAAAACACTCCCTTTTCTGCGTCCTTATGTTTTCGCTTTATTAACTAACAATTACTTTTATAATCAAAATTTACTATTTTAAATATTTTTTTCTGTATAAATTTAGC